CATAATTTCTCTCGGTCTTTGTATGCCGGAGCAGCGGATGCACGTGTATATACCAAGCACAGAGCGGTGGTTGTAACCACGCCTTTAGGTTCGCGGGGGGTCTCCGCGGCGGTATACATGGAACAAAGAAAAGGAAGAGAGAGGACTAAATATCTCGCTGCTCGATTTCTGCGAACCGTTCCAGGAATTGATATTTTTAAACGCGGTTGCATTTAGGATCAGAGCCGTCTGAGGCCGACGTCACTGAAGCGTCTGGGGGAAGAGATTCTCCGCAGTCATCGTGTGGACCAGTTCTCTGAGATTGTTTTCTATCGCCCAGGTATACAATTTCGAGACTCCCCCGACAATTGCGCGACGGAAGGACGCGACGACAAAAAAGAATTTTTCTATTCTTAGGAGACACTCTCCCCCACCCGGGATCGCGTTCTTTCCTCTCCTTCCGCTCCACGTCGAGGCGAAAGGAAATCATCGATTTTATTTTACTTTTTCTCCATCTTCTTCCACGTTCCTTTTTGCTCCCGTTCTGCTAACGGCGCCACGGATGAAACGGAATCGTGTCGGAAGTTTCGTCTCTTAAGAAATAAGAGACCATCGAAAGGAGAATAAATTAAAAGAAAAAAAAAAAAAAGAAAAAAGAAATTGCGGAAATTCTTGAAACCTTCCATATTTCCTTTGCCATATTTACCAACGACCTTTGGCATACGCGTGCATAGGGATTTGTTGCTATAATTAAATCACCGGAAGCGATCCCCCGATAACGTCATCCATTCCTGGCCCAGAGAAAAAAGATACGAGAACCGAGACTCTGATACGTTATTCGTATAAACACGAATGCCGGAGGGAATGATACAGCCGGTGGAAACGAAATAATTCGTGCGATCGCACGCGATTGTTGTAATTGATGCGCGACTGGCAACGTTAACGACAGGATGCATCGTTTGCGTCTGTTTCGCTCCAGATCCTGTCAATGAGTTCTCACGAGACGCGTTTACTTCGTCCCCTTGGGAATCGTATCATCGTTCGTTGCATTTCATTAACGAAGATTTCGAAAACGTGGAACGTACATGATGCGAACGTACTTACGTAATCTTTATTTTCTTTCTATTTCAAAAAAAAAAAAACGATTACTCCAAAAAAATCTCTTCCAGAAACATCTCTCAAGATTGCCGTGGAAAGAGCGCAAGCGCGACTCTTTAGACTCTTTAGATTTATAAAGCTCAAAGATAAATTTCCAAGCTTTTCGACCGCCAAGGCGGCGAGTCTTTCAGCCTGCTCTCGATGCTCTCCCGACCCTCTCGAGTTGAACGAACTTGGCAGAGCACGCACCTCAACGACACCCTTCACGCCTCGAACGCCACTTACTAATTCTCTGCCCTTCGCACCCACGCACGCACGTGCCCCCGGGGCTAATGCAATAACGCGGTCGGAACTTCTGTCAGGGGCTTAACCCTACTTGCACGTGGTTTATGCGCGTGCTGGGCCCAGAAGGTGACGAGAACATACGTAAATCGCTACCGACGTTACTTCCTGGTTATATTTAGCCTTTCCTAACTCCAAGATCGAATTTCTTACCGGGATAAATCGGTTCGAGACTCGATCCGATCGAGTCGTCTTCGATCTATCGACTTCCATTCCATTCTGCTTTCGAGGAACAAATATAGAACGAAATATGCTGGTCCAGATACCTTCATCATTTGGAGATTATTGCAACGAATCGGTTCGATCGGATCTACTTCGTTTTAGAAGAACGAAATTTTATTTTCACAGGAATTTTTTCTCTGAATTCGCGACGAAATCGGTTGAAATCGTTTGATTAGGATGCTTTCGATCCATCGACGATTATTTATTGAATTCCATTCCATCCTGTTTTCGAGGAACAAATATAGATCGAATGCCGGTTCAGATATCTCCCCCATTTTCAGATGTTCAGATGTTCGTAGGTTTTTCCTCTGATCCTCTTTTTCACTTGATGCATTCCCTCGACCCCTTATTTTCGAGACTCATCTATGCTAGACGTTAATGCGGGGCACGCGCGCCTGCAGGATGACAGACACGTGCGCCTCTGTCTATGAAATTGTCAAACCTACTTACAGGGCAATTTGATCGATTGTCTACGTTTCTAGCTTGTTAAATTGATCAATACAGGATCTTTTAAAAACAGAATATATAATGTAAAAGTATTTATTCCATTTTCCTTCCACCTCGTTATCTCTAAAATAAAAACACTTAATCGAACACTTAGACTTTCGATTTAAAAGAAAAATATTCTCATCGAATCAAGTCTTCGCAATATTTCTTACAATTCTCTTAAATTCTAAAATAATTATCTTCCGACTCGAATGAAAAGCATTCCTACGATCATCCCGTCCCGGATTTCTCGCCGTGATTTTTCTTCACTTCACACTTCGAGTATTCATATTCGACTCGTCCATCATTTTTGGCCACGAGGACAGAGAGGTAGGAGATGTCTAATGACCCGGATGAACGAGCGTTGGCACGCGCCCGCGCCGAGAATCGAGGGTATCGAGGCGCGAGTCCCGGCCTCCGGCTGCTCGCAAGAGGGTGCCTACTAGTAACTGTAGGCAGCCGACAAAAATAGCACCCCGATGCCGTTGTACCTACGGATGCAACGAGCATTAGCATCGACAGAACGAGGGGAGAGGGAGGGATTCAGACGTGGCGGCCGCCCTTCGCCACGCAAAAGGGATTTTGTTCCAACGAGGGATCATCGCGTCGTAGAGGAAGCTCTATTTCCGCTCTCCACGCTCCCTCGAGGCCCAATCACATTGCCCGATATCACGTTCGCGTGTTATAAAACGCGTGAAAGAATTCTCCTCGTGCACGGAGGAAAAAAAAGAAGAAAAAAAAAAAGAAAAAAAACTTGTATTAAGTGGAACCCACAAGAAGATCTCGTTAGATATCTATGGATAGGAAATATGGATAGCAGGAATTTTGATTTTTTTTTTATCTTCCAGTGAAAGAATAAATAGAGAAATCTTATATAGATGAAAAAAAGAAACTCGATCGGGCAAATTTTGTGGAACGAAAAATGCGAACGAATAAAATGAATCCCACAAGTCTCCTCCAATAGAAGACACGTCTAACGATCGATGGAATCGCAGAACGAATCAAAACCTGTCAGCTGATCGAAGCTTGATCGAAGCTTGGTTGAAGAGCGATACGCTCTGAGAATAGAATCTTCCAGTCGTGCTTTGAATGAAAACAAACGGATCGATCGTACGTCTTTGATGTTTAACAACGAGTTAACGCATAACAGGAAGGGGAACAGATCCTATCGAGATTGTTTCGCGTTGGCGTAAAAAAGATCGGACGGGAGCAAGGAGACCGAATTCCCCTTGGAAGGACGAACGATTTTAGCCAACGGGGAGAAACTGTCTCTCTGAGTTAAAGGCACGTCGAGAACGCGGTCCAGCTTGGAATCTCGAAAAAAGGACCCTTCAACGCATTCCCCTTTTTTCCATGTGTACAAGCCGTGATCGAACGTGCGGAAGCTCGCCAGTTATGCACCTTAAATCCGCCAACGAAAAAGAGACTGGTCGGCGGTGAGACTGTGGGACACAAAAGCTTACCGGTGTGTTTCAGCCTCGAAATAGCAGCAGCGTCGGGACGTCGACTCTCGGGTTATCTCTCGCGTTCCACGGAGCAACGCCACTTTCCTTCTTTCTCCTCTTCTTTCGTCCTCCTCCTCCTCCTCCTCCTCCTCTTTCACTCTCGATCGAATCCCTTTAATCGAGTTGATTAAAAAAAAAAAAAAAAA